TTCTCTCTGTGCCTCAGCTTCTTTGTATTCCTCTTCTCTAGTTTCTATTTCATTTATTGTCTCCTCCAGCGTATCCATCCTGCTTTTAATACCCCCCATTGTGCTCTTCAACGATTGGATCTCTGACCTGAATTTTTCCTGAGTTCTTGGGTATCTTTCTGTACCATCATTAGCATGTTGATGATTTTCCTAAGCATACAATTGTTAACTAAGTAAAGTATCCCAGTGCCACTCTGCACAGTAGGGTGAAATGGTCATGGGGCCAAGAATTGCTTATTTTAAAAAATGAGTATCTATTTGTATTTTTGTGAGTCCATTTTGAGTCTTATATAATATTTAATGATTCAGCAATATTGTCTATGTACATAAGACTATAATGTATGAAAAATACTGTGTGTACCATTATTAGCTTCATTGAAGTTTGTCCATCTCAAAACTGCACTCAGTACCAGTATGCATGAGCACTAGCAGACTCTTAATACAGCAACAAGGCAAAACAAGAAAGAATGTCATCAGTAGGTTAGAAACTTCATGAATCCGTGAAAGATAAAGCAGTGGGATTAGATTGATGAAGGTAACTATAGTTGAAGCATGTGCATGAAAGGACTGCTTTGAAAGATGGGAGTGGTTTCTTGCTCTGGGTCAGTGTTAGGAAGGAACTGAAAGAGCCCTTGGACAACTTTGGGGTAATTGGCTTTCTTCACTTCTGGCCATGCCAAACAGCAGTCAACAGAGTTGTTTGTCCTCAGCTAGAACTGGCTGTGGGCCAAGGACTAGTGTGGCAGAGCAGTGACTTATGCATGGCTGCTGATACCAGGAGGAATGGAGACCCTGTGCTCAGAGGACAAGTTATAGGTACATTGTGTTTCTAATATAGGCCAGCTTCCATAATTACTGGCAATAGAAGCTAGATTAAACAGAAAAGCATCTATAGGCAGATTTCAAAGGCGTAAACATTTGAGAAAGAACAGCTCCAGAGGTAATCTTATCCATTCATCAACCAACAGACTGTTGTGGAAAAGTCTATTGGAGACATGAATGAAATAACTTCTCCCAAATTAAAAAACTCTGTAGGGTTGCAAAGGAGCAGACACAAAATAGGAAGATGGAATATCATGAGACCAGTAATTCTTACAATATATAATATAAAGGAACAAATGTATATACCACATTTTGTTTGTTTACTCATTTGGTGATGAACATGGGATTTTCTCTACCTCTTGCCCGCTGTGACTAATCATGTATGATTGTTGGTGTACAACTATCAATTTGAGTGTATTTCAGTTCTTTTGGATCTGTATTCTGGATTGTATGGTAATTGTGTTTTAACATGTTGAGGAGCCACCATAATGGTATCCACCATGGCCATACCGTTTTAACAGCACAGAGGTTCTGATTTCTCCAAATCCTCACCAACACTTGTTATTTCCAGCCTTTATTCTTATTGAACCATTGATTTTCATATCTCACTTTCACTTGTAAAAGTGAATTAATTGATATCAATACAATCCATTAAGTAAAATATAACTGTCATTTACCATATGATACAGCTAAAGAAGTCTACATATGTAATAAATTTGTTTAAAAAATGATTTCTTTATTGTTCAAGTAATTGTACATTAACGATATCAAAATAAATAAATATATTTTCATATTAAATAAATTTTAAAAAGTTAATAGCTTATTTTCTCTCAGAAATATTACTTGACAGACCCATGGCTGAACATTCAAGGTAAAAAATAGTTGTATGGGGGAGAAAAAACAGCAACCATTATTTAATATAGTAAATTACACTGTCTGAGACACCAAAAAAAAATAAATCATTTCTTTATTATACAATTTACATTGTTACTGAAAATATGTATATAACCTACTGTTGCACTGAATGATTGCTATATACATAGTATGTGTGTGTATACATATATAATACATTTTTCTTTTTTAAGGTGCAAGAATTATTTATTCATGATTATGGAGAAATTTTTAATGTCCAGTTACCTGGTAAAGAAGAAAGGACAAAATTTTTTGAAGATTTAATTCTAAAGCAAGCTGCTAAGCCTCCTATATCAAAAAAGAAAGCAGGTTAGTTCCTCTATCTACGTTAATATATAATAATTTTGAAACAATGGAAATAAAATAACAGTTAAATGGCATTAACATCTTGTAATAACATAGCTCAAAATCTCAGTCATGAGGTTCATACCTCTACTGTTTAAAAATCTTCTCATTTTGCTTGCTATTAAATAAAGTTCTTTAAGTATACAAGGCCTTTCATAGTACAGCCCCAATCCTTGTGGAATTTGGGCTAGAATTCATGGTATAGCTCTAGTCTGTCTTTACAAGCCCATTTTTGGCACTTTTGTTCTCCCTCCTTCCCCCACCTCTTTTCTTACAAAGCACCCTACCTTTAAACCATATGCAACATATTCCTTCCTCTTCATTATTTTGTTCGTGCTTTGCTCTGTTAGTAATGTTTCTATCCCCACCCACTATCTCTGCTAAGGAACTACTTATCCCTCTAGTATAACTCATTTTTTTTCTTCCTTAACATATTTAGGCAAAATTAATTTTCTACCTTTATGACCCACTGTACTTTTTTCATACTGTTAACATGACATTATGGTGATACTACAATTATATCTCTTACTCCCTTAATGATTTCCAGCTAATGGGACAGCACTCTTATATTCCTTTTTTTATCCTGAGTACTCAGTGTATATCTGTTTAAACAAAATTTAACCTTTGTTATATTGGAAACATGCCCCAATCTTTCATTAGTTCGAAAATTAACTAGTAAGATATTTTCAATAGTTAGAATATTTTTGCCTGGAAAAAATTCATTTTCACAAGTTTTAGTAATGATTTAAGCCTCTTAATGATCTTAAAATAGACCAGAAATAATGACTTAGGAGTTAGCATTCTAGATTACAAGTTACCAATTATTGCTGAAGGGGTAGAGATTATGGTAGCACTTTAGTATCCAGACTGTCTGATTCCTGGCAGATCTAAGGAGGATAACTCCTGAAAGCCTGGCTACTATGTGCACTGAATCAGTTGTTACCCTTGATATAATGGGAGAATATTAACCAAACTCTTCTGTTCATGTGAAGTTTTGCAGGCCTTGGAGGTACTCCCTGTAGCACCACCACCTGAGCCAAGACAGTTGACAGCAGAAGAATTGAAACGACTGGAAGAGCAAGAAGAAGATACATTTAGAGAACTGAGGATTTTCTTAAGAAGTGTTACACATAGGCTTGCTATTGACAAGCGATTCAGAGTATTTACTAAACCTGTTGACCTTGATGAGGTATTAATCTTTGGATCAAGTGTGTTACAAACTATAATGCTTCAAAATTAGTATTTGAATAGTTCATGTGGTTCCCTCTGTACACTCTGAACTTTTTTCTCTACATGGGAATATACCAAGTAGTGTCCCAAGCACATAGAGACTTCAGGATCGATGTAACACATAATCTCTGAAGGGAACAAACGACTAGTTTTCTCTGTCTTAATATTTATAATCCAAACATTCTAGAAACAATTTGAGAATGCCTTAATGCTACATGATATATTGTGAACCTACATGGTTAGAATGAATTGGAGAACAAAGTCTTAGATTGACACTGAAGGATGGATAGCATTTGGATGAGGAAAGAGGTATATAGTATGTTACCAGAGATACAGGTGCCCAAGAATAAGAAAATACAAAACAAACCTAGCCGTAAATAGAGTCAAAGATTTCTTACTAATATAATACTATCTCTTGTATTTCTTCTCTTCTCCCCTATATTGCCTGGCAGAGAAACTTGACTCAAATATTTTTTATGTTCAGTTAATTTAGTAATTTGGTCATTTGCTTGAATTTTAGGTTCCTGATTATGTCACTGTAATAAAGCAACCAATGGACCTTTCATCTATAATAAGTAAAATTGATCTCCACAAGTATCTGACTGTAAAAGACTATTTGAGTGATATTGATCTAATCTGCAGTAATGCTTTAGAGTACAATCCAGATAGAGATCCTGGAGGTGAGCATTAGTGTCCTTTTTTTTAAGGGAGTGGTGGGCTCCTAACACTTAATGAGGGTTGATTTTATGCCAGTTGCTGTATATTACGTTTTACATTCACAGTTCCATTTAATCCTCACAGCATTACCCTTATTTTGCAGTTGAGAAAAATGAAGTTGAGAGGTTAAAAATAAGATCATACTGCTAGAAAGTGGCAGAGGAAGAATTTGGGTGCAGGTTTCTTTCACTTCAAAATCCCTGTGTTTATTAACAATTACATGATATATCTAATGAGATACAAAATTGCATAACAACTTGCCTTATTTTGAAACAACTTTGTTATTGCTCTTTCCTGAAAGTAGAAAAATTATACTCTGTAGTAAAATAGGTTTGAAAAGATAATCTTAGTTAAGACCATTACAGTCTTTATTATAAACGTATACATTGTAATGCTTCCTAAAATATTTTAAAAACCAAGCCCTGTAGATTTATCGTGGTGATCATTTTGTAATGTATATAAATGTTAAATAATATGTTGTACACCTGGGACTAATATGATGTAAGTCAACTACACTTCAATAAATTAATAAAAATTCAAAAAACAAAAATATAAAACTAAGCCTGTTAGGTTTGGAGCTTTCTTTCCAGACCTTTTCTCTGCAGATACCCATTCCACCCTCACCTACCCAGTCTATAAATAAATAAAATTTATAAAGGAAGGTATTTCTAAATTATATAATCATATATAAAATGATATCTTCAGATACCTACATATTTAGTTTAAACTTACAATCTCCCAAGAAAGAAAGCTTTTTTCCCTAGCTTCCTATTCCTGTTTTATGGATGCAGCATCCTTAACTGTCAATGGATAATTTTTTTGAATTAGTAATTCTGTTTCCTGCATTAATTCTTCCCTTCAGTAAATTGGCTTTCTGTTTTTAAATTGTAGTACCTATAAATTAGATTGATTAGCATAGAGACCTATTGAGAGTTTCCTTAACAGTTGAAAAGCTCAGTTTTTCCCTTTCCACTTCTGTACCCCCCACCTTCCCTAGGCTTTTATTTATAGTTCATAGTTCTGGATTTGAGCAGTGGGAAACAGTCTTCAAAGCTGAGAACACCTCTTAATTGTAGAAAGAAGGAAGCATTTACTCTGGAGGCTGATAGATTTTTTTCTATTTCATTGCAGTCATGCTGCTGTTGCCTTTTCTGTCCAATCTAAAATTACTTTGGACCAGTGGTATTCAAACTAGAAGTCATCAGCATCTTCTAAAGGACTTGTTAAGATGCAGCTTATTGGACCCTATCTCCATGGTTGCTGGTTATATAGATGTAGGGTAGGACTTCAGAATTTGCATTTCCAACAAGTTCCCGGATAATACTGATGCTCCCACACTTCAGGAACCAGTGCTTAGATTTTGCCCTGCTTTTTCTTCAGGTCCAAATACCATGTTAGAAGCCCCCTTTGGATACTATAGCTATTGCAGCCCTCTGCCCTTTGAGGATGAATGTAAGCTAATCTTACATTCACTTATTACCTGCTTTCTATTTCAAAGTATATTCCAGTTCATTGGACTCTGAATTTAGTGTTTTTTTCTAGTGTTTCTTGTGTAGGGTTGCTGTTTCATTGTCTTTGTTTAGTTTCTCTGTCAATGCAGTAACATCCTGTATATCTCTTCCAAAATTATTTTACATCCTTGGTTCACTAATGACACTGATAGCCTTCTTTGCTGTTTTTGTGGTTATTACGTTGTTGTTTAGTCTTGCTATTGATTGAGTCTTTTTTTTTTTTTCCAATATTTCAAAGGTATCTGGGTAGGATAGCACCAGAAAATTATTTGGGTTTAGTCTGCCATATTGAATCAGATGTCTAGAACATTGGCTTGACAGCAAAAACAGAGTAACACAATTCCAGTAACTTTTACTATTCATGGTTAAAGTAAAAAAGGAATTGCAATGGCTGGCAATCTTAACCCAACATGTTGAATTTATTTTTGGTAAATTATTTTTTTTTTAATGTTTTAATTATATTCTTTCTCAGATCGTCTGATTAGGCATAGAGCCTGTGCTTTAAGAGATACTGCCTATGCAATAATTAAAGAAGAACTTGATGAAGACTTTGAACAGCTTTGTGAACAAATTCAGGAATCCAGGAAGAAGAGAGGTAGGAAAATGATGAGGCATCAGTAAAGGGGTTTCTAATGTGGTATACTGAGCATTTTTAATTAATCCTTCATATAATTTTGAAATTTTGAAATTTGATATCCCACACGTCTATTTATAAGGTTGTAGTTCCTCCAAATATGCCCCATCTTACTACCATGTGATGTCAAAGCAAAATTCCACTCCTGCTGGTGATAAAAGATCAGATCCAGAGCAGAATGAAAAATTAAAGACTCCAAGTACTCCTGTGGCTTGTAGCACTCCTGGTAAGAATGTTTGGGTCATTTTTACTTAAGAAATTATAACCTTTATTCTCTTCTAAATGCCATTTACTCTCTCAGTATCCTTAATTTATATTTATGTAGTGAATTACTTTGATTTTGTTACTATTAAGGCAACACCATTCTTGAAATAAATGCAGGTTTGTACCACTCAATCCCAGTTCACCTTTATCTAATTCTGGATTGACCTGATTTGAAGCTGATTTTCATTTTCTATAAATCCTAGTCTATTTCCTACTAGTTCTTCCCTATTCTTAGGGTGTAACTCTAAGGGGTACCAACCCATAACGTGGGTTTTCCTGAGACTTCCTCTGTTGGGAATCCCTTAATTTCAATTTTTGCTCTTAAATCCCCATGAATGTCACATTCTTCCCAGCTTCTTAGCCTCTCAACTGTTCATTTGTTTTTTCAGATTTTGGTCATAATTCCTCAGTGCCTTGTTAGATCTCCAACATTTTAAACAAAAATTTTAAAAAGTGTGTGTGTGTGTGCAGCTGGGTGGAACCTTCCCCTATTGTAGTGCTTGCTTGTCCATCTTAGGGTAACTGATCTAAAATAGAGTAAGCCCTTTTGTCAGAATGGGGGGAGGCAGCTGGGAAAGGGAGGATAAGAAAGGCAAACCAGCAGGAGACTTCCACTACAAACTACCAGAATGTTCCAGTTCAAAGCAACCTTAAGTATATATGTGGAAATTGAGAATGGAAAATGACTCCCTTAAAACAATCCATTATAGCTGTATACCCAACAGGATTTCATGCATTATGGTCACCAAAAGATTTACACAAGAATGTTCTTAGAGCCCATAATCATGATAGCATATCACTGGGAGCAACCTAGATGTCCCTCAACATCAGAATGGGAAAATGAAGATTATTACACAATAGTGAGAATGATTAAACTTCAAGTACATACAACAGTGTGGATGACTTTCCCAAATATAGTGCTGTGGTGTGGTTAATACTGCATCTAGTCTAGACAGAATTTGTAGTCTGTATATACCTGAGTTTCTTCATCTATAACAATGATGTTGATAATGGGAACAAACCTGATCAGGTTAAAGTGAAATTTCAATGAGCTAGTTCACATAAAGAATTTAGAAGAGTTCCTATTTATATAGTAAGTTCCTATAGTAATTGAAGGCCATGTTTAGTCTTGCCCTTCCTCCATTTCATTCTTATGCTGCTGTCAAAGTGGTCTTTGTAATATGTGCATTAGACAGTCTATGTCATTGTCCTTAATATTACTCAAGGTTTTTAAAAAATGCTCAAGATAAAATTCAAGCTCCTTTGAATGACAGGTTGTCTACTTCCTACCTTCTCACAGTACTCTCTACTTGTGTTTGCATATTCCAACAATACAAAACTATGATGGTTTCTCAAACTCTATCCTCATATCTCACAAAGTATTTTTATCCCCACTTACTTAGACTTTAGAAAACTGTTGAATGTTCTTTTATCCTTTCTCTCTAATTTCTTTAAAGCTCAGTTAAAGAGAAAAATCCGCAAAAAGTCAAAGTGGTACGTAGGTACCTTAACGAAACGAAGGAGGATTTCACAGGCAAAAGATGATAGCCAAAATGTAGCTTATGACAAACTTGAGAGTGATACAGAGGAAAACCAAGACACAAGTGTAGACCACAATGAGACCAGAAATACAGGAGAGTCTTCAGTGGAAGAAAATGAGAAGCAGCAAAATACCTCTGAAAGCAAAACAGAATTGGGAAATAATAATTCAAGTGTGTGTAGTATTGAGAATAAACTTGAAGAATCCAGAAAGACTACAGCATGTACAGAATTGAGGAAAGATAAGATTGTTTGCAATGGAGATGCTTCTAGCTCCCAGATAATAGATACTTCTGATGAAAATGAAGCAAAAGGTAAGTCTTTCTCAATTAAGCAATTTAAAAGAGGTTTCAAAGTTCTTAAGTAACTATTTACCATCTCAGTTTCTTTTTCCTTGTCTTTCAGAGTGCAGATGTTAGTTATGAAAAATAGCAGTATCTTTACTTAATAACTACTAAGCTAGTAAATCACCATTGTTAAAAGCACACAGTAGCATCAAATACACCTGGATTTGAGCCCCTAGTCTACTACTTAGTACCTTGTAACTTTGGACAAGGTTTTTGACTTATCCAGCCTGTTTTCTCATTGCAAACTTGGGGCTGGGAAATGAGACATTCTGAGTATTGAATAAAATAATCCATCTAAAGCATGTAGCAGGCTGCTTGACTATACAGTTTTTAAAAGTTGGCAGGGTGCCCTCTCCTCATTCCTTAACCCAATTATAGGTTAAGTCAGATTATTTATATTTTGTCTAATGATCCTGCTCCCTAAGTTTTAAATACAGAATTGTCTTCTCTGTGTATCTTCTTGGACCTTTAGCAGTAGATTTGTTTGGCTTTTGGAAAAGCAAAGAGAGGGGTAATAAAATTTCATTTTGGTTGAAAATAAGTACTGACTAAGGTAATGACTGGTTTTCTTCAAAAAGATTATAAATGGATTATAAGCTATAGACAAATCTTTTTCAAGGACTACCTTGAAATGAGTTCTAGTGTGACTGAGTAATCATAGCACAATAGACTAATATATAGCCTTTCCATTGTGACTATTTTAAATGGTAACCATCTGGCTGTTTAGTGTATTTTGTTCGGGTTCAGAGTTACTGTTTTTCCTTTTTTAATCTTTTTTAAAAGGACGATAGTGGGACAGGTACTTGTTTACTAATCAGGAGATTTGGCTTCTTGTCCTCGTTCTTATAACCATTAAGTACACTGACTGTAGAGAAGTCTCTTTATCCCTCTCAGCCTCATTTTTATCATCTGTTTGTGAGTAAATTGTTCTAGATCAGCGACCGGCAAAATTTTTATGTAAAGGGCCTGATGGTAAATATTTAGCCATATAGTTTCTGTCACTACTTAACTCTTCTCGAAAACCACATTGATACATGTATGTAACATGGCTGTGGTTGTGTTCTAATAAAACTTTATAGCAGTAGGCCAGATGTGGCCTATGGGTAGTAATTTGCAACTCCTAGATTACTGAAGTCCCTTCAAGCTCTTAAATTCTCTGATTCTTAATGCCTATGTAGAAGACATTCTGATCTGCTGAGGATCCCCTGAAATACTCAGTTTGAGAAATATATTTCCAGTGTCCTTAATTTTTGAGTGTGTAAGTCACAGCATCTTAGTCTCAAAGCAGCCTATAAACCAGAATTAGTGTTTGGTCTTAGTGAAGATATCCTGTTATTTAATCTGTTTATTTTGGGCATTATAATATCTGTGAACCAAATAATAGTTACTGAATTTTCATTCTAGAAATGTGTGTTCTGCGACTGACCCGAGCACGACGTTCCCAAGTAGAGCAGCAGCAGCTCATCAGTGTTGAAAAGGCTTTGGCAATTCTTTCTCAGCCTGTACCCTCACTTACTGTGGACCATGAGCGGTTAGATGTGTGTACACTGAAGTCTTAATTCTTTCCCTGTGCAGATTAGTAACAACCCACCAAAAGAGGGACCTCTGTCTCTCTTATAATGCACTGTGCCAGTTTGACATACAGTAAATAATGATCTTTATGAAGAAATAAAGTTGGTATATAGTAACATTCATAAGACAAGTGATTGGAGATGGCTAGTGTGTCGATAGTTTTTAACATACCTGCCTACATTGCTGATCCTATACATTGTTTTTATGATCATTACTGTGGGCATTTTAGTTGGTTTTTACTTAACCACAATGGCATGTTTTTGTTAACCAATGGTAATGGAATATCCTGGCAGCATCAGACTTGAAGAATCAAGGAAATCCAGTGAGTCCATTTCAGTCATGAGAAAGAACACTGAGCAGATGGAAAATCCCTTTTATAAGAAAAAGAACAGTGAAGTGGTGAGGTAGTTCACCATTTATGTACTATCACTTTTTGTTTCACTTGAAGAATTTATTACAATGTACTTATAGTGCCATAAAATGCTCTGAAAAAATACTGCCTTTTTCCTGTTAATTAAAGGAATTAATTAAAGGGATTATTTTAAACTCATATATAGAGATTTATGGCTAGAATTAAAACTGGCAACTTCCTTAGCTATAGTTTTTAGGATAGGAGTTTAGGGCACATCCCAGGATCATAGAATAAGGGTAAGGTTAACTATGGCTAAATGTCAGAGCCACTATTAGGCTGTCATGTCTCATCAAGTGACTGGGTCTGCCCTCCTTCTGGTTTATATGCTAAAAATTTCCAAAATCTTCAAAATTAAAATATCTCAGGGAATTTATCTCTCATGTTTCCTTTTAGAATCTTTTGAGGACTGTTGTTAAAAAAAGTCAAGAATACAATATTTTTCATTTGGAGAATTTGTATGCAATAATCAGCCAGTGTATTTATAAGCATCGCAAGGACTATGACAAAACAACACTTATTCAGGTAAACATTTATATGAGGCATTAACTGATAATAAAAATTTTTGAGAGCATTTTTTAATTGTGGATCATTGATTATTTCTGGAAATAACTGAGTTCTGTAATTTTTTTAATCCAACATTTCACTTTTTGTGTTTCTTTAATAAACTGAAACTATAGAATCACTAAACTATGAAAAATCTTTCAGTTTGTATTAGTGAACATATGTAGCTCTTTTTTTAATTGATTTATCACTGATACACAATTTTATGTTGGTTTCAAATACACAACACAGTGGTTTAACAGTTACCCATATTATGAAATCCTCACCCCGTCTAGTGCAATCACTGTCAACATAGTAAGTGGTTACAGAACCATTAACTGTATTCTCTGTGCTGTTCTACCATCCATCTGACCAACTTATATTGTGATTGTGAATTACTGTGCCCCTTTATCCCCCCTTCCCCCTCCCCACCTACTTCTTCCCCTTGGTAACCACTAGTCCCTTCTCTGTGTATGAGTCTACTGCTATTTTGTTCCTTCTGTTGTGTTTTGTTTTATACTCCACAAATAAATGAGGTCATTTGGTATTTGTCTTTCTCTGCCTGACTTATTTCACTGAGCACAATACCCTCTAGCTCCATCCATGTTGCAGCAAATGTCAGGATTTCTTTTTATGGCTGAATAAATTCCAATGTGTATATGTACCACATCTTATCCATTCATCTGTTGATGGACATTTAGGTTGCTTCCATATCTTGGCTATTTCAAATAGTGCAGCGATAAACATAGGGGTGCATATGTCTTTTTGAATCAGGAATGTTGTTTTCTTTGGGTAAATTGCTAGTAGTAGAATTCCTGGGTCAAATGGTATTTCTATTTTTAGTTTTTTGAGGAACCTCCATATCCACAGTGGTTGTACCAATTTACATTCCTACCAACAGTGTAGGAGGGTTCCCATTTCTCTGCATACTTGCCAATAAATTTGTTATTTCTTGTCTTTTGGGTAGTGACCATCCTAATTGATATGAGGTAATATCTCATTGTGGTTTTAATTTGCATTTCTTTAATAATTAGTGATGTGTGGAGCATCTTTTCATGTGCCTGTTGACCATCAGAATTTCTTTCTTGGAGTAGTATCTGTTAGGTTGTCTGCCCATTTTTAATCAGGTTGTTTGTTTTTTGGGTGTTGAGGCATGTGAGCTCTTTATATACTTTGGATGTTAAACCCTTATCAGATACGTTGTTTACAAATATATTCTCCCATACTGTAGGATGCCTTTTTGTTCTGCTGATGGTGTCCTTTGCTGTACAAAGCTTTTTAGTTTGATGTAGTCCCACTTGTTCATTTTTATCTTGTTTCCCTTGCCTGAAAAGATGGATGTGTTCAGGAAAAAGTTGCTCATTTTTATATTCAAAGATTTTTGCCTGTTTTCTTCTATGAGTTTTATGGTTTCATGACTTACATTCAGGTCTTTGATCCATTTCAAGTTTACTTATGTGTATGGAGTTAGACAGTTATCTAGTTTCATTCTCTTGCATGTAGCTGTCCACTTTTGCCAACACCAGTTGTTGAAGAGGCTGTCATTTCCCCATTGTGTATTTATGGCTCTTTTATCTATTAATTGACCATATAAGCATGGGTTTATATCTGGGCCCTGTATTCGGTTCCATTGATCTATCTGTGGGTCTGTTCTTGTGCCAGTAACAAATTGTTTTGATATTTAGCTCCTTTTTAAGATAGAATTAAAGACAGACCTGTTTGGTCGTTTCTTAATTTTGCTTTGTAAGTGGGCATTAGGTACTAATTTTTGAAAATAAACATTGGATGCGTAAAACTCATAGCAGAAAACAGGCAAAAATCTCTTAAATATAAACATGAGCAACTTTTTCCTGAAAACATCTCCTCAGACAAGGGAAACAAAAGCAAAAATGAACAAATGGAACTACATCAAACTAAAAAGCTTCTGTACAGGAAAGGACACAATCAGCAGAACAAAAAGACATCCTACAGTATGGGAGAATATATTCATAAATGACTATCTGACAAGGGGTTAACATCCAAAATATATTAAGAGCTCACACGCCTCAACACCCAAAAAGCAAATAACCTGATTAAAAAATAGGCAGAGAATCTGGACACTTCTCCAAAAAAGAAATTCAGATGGCCAACAGGCACAGGAAAAGATGTTCCACATCGCTAATTATCACAGAAATGCAAATTAAAACGAGTTACCACACCAATTAAAAGCCAACATCCAAAAGACAAGGAACAACAAATGCTGGTGAGAATGTGGAGAAAGGGGAACCCTCCTACACTGCTGGTGGGAATTTAAAGTAGTTCAGCCATTGTGGAAAGCAGTATGGAGGTTCCTCAAAAAACTAAAAATAGAAATACCATTTGACCAAGGAATTTTTCTCTTAGGAATTTACCTTAAGAAAACAAGGTCCTTCATTGAAAAAGACATATGCATCCCTATGTTTATTTTACTTATTTTTTTATTCATTTTATTATCATTAATCTACAATTACATGAAGAACATTATGGTTACTAGACTCCTCCTTCACCAAGTCCCTCCCAACAAACCCCATTACAGTCACTGACCATCAGCGTAGTAAGATGCTGTAAAATCACTATTTGTCTTCTCTCTGTTGCACATCCCTCCCTATGCTCACCCCCACCCCCCACATTATACATGCTAATCGTAAGGCCCCCTTTCTTTTTCCCTGACTTAACCGTCCATTCCCACCCCTCCTGCCAAGTCCCTTTCCCTTTGGTAACCATTAGTCCATTCGTGGGATGGGTGATTCTGCTGCTGTTTTGTTCCTTCAGGTTGCCTTTGCTCTTATACTCCACATATGAGTGAAATCATTTGGTACTTGTCTTTCTCCGCCTGGCTTATTTCACTGAGCATAATGCTATCTAGCTCCATCCATGTTGCTGCAAATGGTAGGATTTGTTTTCTTCTTATGGCTGAATAATATTCCATTGTGTATATGTACCACATCTTGTTTATCCATTCATCTATTGATGGACACTTAGGTTGCTTCCATTTCTTGGCTATTGTAAATAAGGCTGCGATAAACATAGGGGTGCATATGTCTTTTTCAAACCGGAGTGCTGCATTCTTAGGGTAAATTCCTAGAAGTGGAATTCCTGGGTCAAATGGTATTTCTATTTTGAGCATTTTGAGGAACCTCCATACTGCGTTCTACAATGGTTGAACTAATTTGCATTCCCACCAGCAGTGTAGGAGGGATCCCCTTTCTCCACAACCTGGCCAACATTTGTTGTTTGTCTTTTGGATGGTGGCCATCCTTACTGGTGTGAGGTGATATATCATTGTGGTTTTAATTTGCATTTCTCTGACGACTAGCAATGTGGAGCATCTTTTCATGTGTCTGTTGGCCATCTGAATTTCTTCTTTGGAGAACTGTCTCTTTAGCTCCTCTGCCCATATTTTAATTGGATTGTTCACTTTTTGTTTGTTGAGGTGTGTGAGCTCTTTATATATTTTGGTTGTCAACCCT